CTTCACAAGCCGAGGGGGGAGGGGGGAGGGGGGAGGGGGAACTTTCCCTGGTGACAGCACTTCTGGGTTAAAGGCAGTCTGAGGACACACTTGAATGAATGGTGACTCCTCCAGAAATAAATCATGGAAAATGCTTAAACTGCATCGAGGAAACTTGAATCACTGGAATGGCAGCTCTGAGAAGGCAGGGTGCCTCCTGGGGCGCCCAGGATGCGGGTTTCTGGCAACCTTGACGGGCCAGCCCCTGGTCCTGCTGGGCCCCCGCATCCTGCTGGCCCCGCGGGCTTGGGTTCTTTCTGAAAGGTGAAGGCAGAGTGGGGCTCCTTCTCCAGCCCTCTCCCCGCCCCCACACACACCCTGGAGACACTGTGGGTCAGCAAAGGGATTGAAATTAAAGCACGTGGGCAAAACGCAGTTACTGCTGGGAGCAGTAATAAGACGCGTACTTTTCTTCTTGTCTATTCTAAACTATCAAAAGTAAACCATTTTCTCATTTTTCTATTAAACAACTTATTCAGCTAATTTTTTCAAATACTGATTATTTAAACTAATTGCAAAGTGGCACCTAGAAAGCCTTATAGTGAATCACTGACAAAATTAGGCAGGGGAGGGAGGAAGATCAATCAAAGAACCTGTATGCAGACATGCAGAGCCCACAGACACAGACAGCAGCGGGGTAAAGGCCGGGGGAGGGGCAGAGGAGAGGCGGCCAAAGGGGCAAAAGGGGACATCTGTAACACTTGCAGCAATAAAGATAAATTTAAAAAAGAAATAGAAAAAAATTAGGCTTGTGACTAATAACAATAATTGTTATTACTATTATTATTGGACAAATGTACATTATTGAATAGTACTGTGTAGTTGATTTTTATAGAAACTTTACTTTGACAAAGAAACGGAAAAGTTTCATTTTTAACTGTAGCCTTTTGACATTAAAATTAATTTGCCAATAAAAATGGTAGCAGATAAAATTTAAAAATGAAGAATAACTTTGGTTGATTTCTTTCTGATGGAGGCTATAATTATAATCTTACATTTTGCTAATTTCCAATTTATGTTTGGGGGGGCACAAAATCAGTTTTCTTTAATTTCCCCCTCTGCTGGAGTGATCCTTAGCATTGTTAGTTAATAGCTACTGCAGGCCGGTAGGGCCCTAACTGGTTAGGACAGTGGTTCTCAACCTTGGCTGCACATTAGAATCACCTGGGAATCTTTTTAAAATCCTGATTTCTGGGCCTCATCCTCCGGAAATTCTGTTTCTTTGTTACTAATGTTGTGGCCCCACCCCATAACAAAGAAACAGAATTTCCGAAGGATGAGGCCCAGAAATCAGGATTTTAAAAAGATTCCCAGGTGATTCTAATGTGCAGCCAAGGTTGAGAACCACTGGGTTATGAAGAAGCGTGCTTTTAATCAATGAGTAGTGATGACTCTGTAATATGCTAGGAAACATTGAAGCTGTCTGCAGACATTTTTAGAGTCTTCTTAGGAGAGCTGTTAGCAGGGACTGATTCCGTAGCTTTCTAAGAATGGGGCGGGGGTTCCCGCTTTAGAAGCAACAGCGATGAGGGGACACCTTGAGGTAGGTCGCCTGTGGCCAAGTCCCACGGGGAACGATGCATCCGGCTGGCAGGGCTGATGGTTCTGGTTGGACTGTGGGTGAGCAGCTGGCAGGAGCCCTTGGCAGGGGGCACCTTCACAAACAGTGTAGGGCTCCTCCATGCACCTTCCGCGGTGCTATTGGCTTCGTTTAGAAAGTGACCGTCACTGCAAACTACGCGTCACTATGACGTTCCAAAGTTCCTGAGCCAGTGGAAGAAACACCACACACCTCTCCTTAAGCGCCATGTTCAAATGGGGTTAACGTTGGAGGTTTGGACTGTTTTTACAAGGGGGGGGGTCCTCTTAAGAGGCAGGGAATGAACCTGCCCTCGTGGTTAATATTTAACGCTGAGTATTTCAAAATGGTTCTGTTATAAAGACTGGAAACCGGAGAGAGTGGTAGGAGGACACTCCTGATGAAAGAGTTGGCAGATCTGAAGTCTAATGTCTTTAGGCAGTTTTTTTTTGGAGGCGGGAGGGAGAGAGGGAGGGAGAGAGAGAGGGCACAGCAAGGTGAGTGTGGGCCTAGTCAACGAGGACCGGGTGCTTTTCTGTAAAAGCTGAAGGCAAGGACTTGCGTGCTCAAGGGCCTTCAAGTCCAAAGCGTCAGGCTCCGGGGAACAGCTGCGGAGTTGTGTGTATTGTGTGTGGTGTGCGTTCCTGCAGTGACGTTCCTCCCTGAAGCTTACGTGAGGGAAAACATTCATTCTTTTTTGACAAAAGGAGGAGTCATGGGGGATGAGATTTAGAGATGGGAGCTGTGGCCCACCGTGGCATTTCTGCATTTCTTGAAGTTATATTCCAAATCCGATCTTTAAAGACGCTCGTGTTGCTAGTACCAACGTGGCATCGTGGTCACGCTGCGCCGTCTGTGTAGGAAGCACCTGAGTTCTGCAGCAGCCAGGCCCGCGGTTGGTGAGGGAGGGAAGCTCTCCGGGCTGTGGCGGCTGCTTGGCGGCAGCAGTGGAGACGGGAGTGACCACGTCTGTCCCTGTCCGCGGACGCGCTGCTTACGTGGAGCCGCCACTGCTGTTGGTTTTGAGAAGCAGAACTCGAATCCAGTCTCCAGAGCAAGGCCGAGGCCGCCCCGAGGGCACTGCCGGCTTGTGGGCTCGCATCATTTACCGAATGTGTCTGACTTGGGCGCTGGATGCCGTTTTGGCTTTTTGAGTAGAGGGTCAGGGTGAGCATTGTGCCGCCTTTGGAATTCAAATGTAGCATTGGCAAAAAAACAGAGGGGCCTCCTGAGGTGGAGAAAGGAGAAACAAATTGCTCCCTGACGCGGCTGCAGGTGATCCGCCTCCCATTTCCCGGCAGGGTGCGGCCACTGCGCTGGCATTATCCCGTGAGAGGGTGTGTGGATTACCTGCTCACACGCAGGCCACCGCAGGCTCACTCAGCTGTCATTCTTCCAGCGCGAACTCCTGAGCCCTGCAGCTCCCGCGCTCACTCCTGGAGCTGAGACGGAATCCCCTGTTCTCGGTGATGAATTGTGCTGTTGTTCTGCGCTTGGCAGAAAAGTGCCTTTGGAAAGTACCTTATAAAACATACGGGCTCTTTTGTCTACAAGGGTTTGTTTAATTCTGAAAATGAGTGAACGCAAGCCAGGAAGTTTCCATGCCTCTCCTAAGAGCAACTGGCCTTGTAAAAACCCCAGCACGCAGTGGGTGTGAAGGTCCTGAGGATGAAGACCTTTTATTAATCCCCGTTCTCTCTTCAGGCTCAAGCACAGTGTGTGGCCCTCAAGGACTCGCTGAATGACACCCCTTGTTCAGTCCTTCTCTTTGGTCCTGTGCACTCTATCCAGGTCCCGTTCACTGGAACCAACTCTTCCCCATCGCTGACGGGGACCAGCAGTCCCCGATTGAGATTAAAACCAAGGAAGCGAAGTTCGACTCTTCCCTCCGACCTCTTAGCATCAAGTATGACTCGAGCTCTGCCAAAATCATCAGTAATAGTGGCCATTCCTTCAACGTTGACTTTGATGACACGGAGGACAAATCAGGTGGGCTTTTTTGGGGGGAGGGAGCGAGTGAGGGGCTCGGACAATTGGATGGCGCCTTCTTTTCTCTCTTATTTGAAACACCTACCCATTGGATGTCCCTGTTAGTACTTTGCTGGGACCTGTCATAAAAGTTGTGTTTGATTAGTTCAGGGGCAGTGTCTTTCACACCATCAATAAATGATGGCCAACCCAATGAAACTCGTATCATTTCTATGTGACACACTAGCTAATGAATAGAAAGGAGCATTTCCTTCACCTTCAAGCCAGCAGCGGCCCAAGAAGCAGATTAGTATCAAGTTTAGAAGTTAGATGACAGAGAAGATTAGGAGACTCATATTTTAAGGCTGCTGACCAATTACTTTTACTTTTAGTCTAATATTAGGATGATGCTGTATTTGCTCTATTGATGGTAAGTATAGTTGAATGTTAAAAACCCTTCATTGGAAGAAAGCGTTCACTTGCTCATTAAGCACAGCTTTGGTTTAGTCAGTTCCCTGTGCTTATGTAAAGCTATATTGTTAGCTAAGATTATAAGCCCATAACATTACTTCCTCATACTTGTCAAATTCGTAAAAGTGATTCATATTGTTTATTCAGAGCATTGTAAAAAGTGCACAAAGAGAGATTAACATGTGGTGTTTTCAACTTGTGGGGAAGGAGGGACCTTGCTGTTCATATATGTGTTTTCTTCACACCTCAGCTCTGTGAGGGCGGGAGGCTGAGGTAAAGGGGAGGGTGACATAATGGGCACAGATGTGGTCACGTAGAAATCTGAGGCTTCCAAACACAAAGCTGACACCACCCACGATCGTGGTTGGAAACTGGTTATAATACCTCAAATATTAAAGGAAACAGAGGCTACAGTCCTCATTCCAGAATAAGAAGTGACCAGATAGGACTTCCTGTGCCACTCGCTGGCCCTGGAATCGCGCTGTGGTGACGCCAGGTCACGCCGCAGCCGCCTTGCACTTGCTTCTGTGCAGTCATTGCTCAGGTACCACCCTGGTCCTGAGGACCCACAGGAGCGAGGCGGGTCCTCTTAGAGGAGCGTGCTTCCTGCTGGGTAGACAGTAGCTGTCCGAAGAGCCTTTTTCTGGTTGTGCTCCCAGCCGTGCTCACTGTCCAGGCAGCCGACGCCAGTGCAGTTGGGGAAACGGAGCAGGACGGGCACGTTACTGACAAGGCTCAAGGCAGATGCAGTGCAGCAACACCTGTGTTTCTAGTTTCACAACGTGGTTGAACTTCGCGGCAGAGAGCAGCTAACAGAGGCCCTCTTGCTGAGGTGGCACACGTTCCCCACCCTTCTAGGGCACTCACCTCTGGCGTCTTACCCTCTGTAGACCTCTTGTATGAGCGCATCATTTGAAGAGATTTTTTTTAAATTCTGGGTGAAGTGATAAATGGGCACTATATGTATGCCAAGTATGATTTTGGAGAAATGATCACTTATTTTCAGAGTTAAGATAGAGACAATAATATTTATTTACTCACCTAGGCTGGAAAGTGAGATGAATAATTCGACACTTGAAAACACTAAATCATTCTCATTAAAAATAACTTTGCCACCATTCTTCATCGTATCCCACAGTTTCACTGTTCTATAGAGACCATCTCGAAGGCAGCGCGAGGCTCACTGTGACCTTTTGACTCACTTTCCCCGCCCTGTGCAGAGCCCTAGGTGGTCATCACACTAGCCACCCATGGTCCGGGTTGCAGGTTGGACATTTCAGTACAGACACTCCAGTGTGGAGCCCAGCGAGGTAGAGTGAGGCCAGCGTCGCTGCTCCACCAGGCAGGGCTGTGCTAACCTGGGTGAAGCCTGGGTTGGGAGCGGCTCCCAGAGACCAGCCAGGATTCCTGGACCTTTTTGGGGTCTCCCTCTTTCTCCTGGGCCAGCTGGTTTGCGTCTCCTCCCAAAGTGCGTTCAGTTCTAGAATTAGAGGTGAGTCCCGAGCCCTCCCTCTGCGTGGCGCTGTGAAGGGTGACCTGGCTCAGCTCGGTTTGTGCAGCAGAACAGGAAAGACAGGACACCAGGCGCTGGTTGCCCTCGGAGGCCGTGGCATCCGGAAGCAGGCCGCCACCCAGGGAGGGCATGTGCCTTTTCAGCTCATTTATCTGTGAAACATCTTGGAGGCTGTTTAAAGCCAAACCTAAGATCCTCTCCATCAAGGATCTCCTCGGGGACAGTTGCGGGAGGGGCGGTGCCGCAGGGACGCCAGCAGGGTCTGCCGGAGCGTGTCCAGGGCAAGCGGAAGCAGTGGCCCCGCGCTGTCGCGACAGTGACCGAGAGTGGCCTAGCAGCCTGCCGTGGGGTGCTCCCCTCCCCCTTCTTTCCCAGAGGGCTCTGAAGATGGGCAGCTACCTACCATAGAGCAGTCTGGATCTGACGGAGCCTAGAGGGTGCCCGACCATCCAGCCTTCCCAAGACTCGATTGCATGTGCTCCCAGTTTCTCCTTGGGCAGGTAGATGTGAAGGGACATCAGTCCAATCCCCTAGTTAGGAACAGGGAAACAAACACAAGTGCGGACAAGAGAGCGGACACCCACAGAAGCATGGGTGCGTGTGGGAGGAGGTGTCCTCACTGAGCGGGACCTGGCCCGGCTGCTGATTGGACCCCTGCCCAGCTCTGAGCCTCCGTCCAGCACCAGGTTGGGGAGAAGGGCACCCCCTGGTCCCCACACAGCGGTCTGGTCTCCTGCAGTGCAGCCCAGAGGGCACGGGCAAGCATTACCTTGTCCTTTTGTTTCTTGCTGTTTACAGAAAACTGCACATGAAATTCTTAACATCTTTTCTTCTTATATAAGGTGGGTCATTCTCGACAAATTTTGTAACCGCATATAATTATCTGTATGTAACATAATTAAGAGCAGGGCCATTGGAGTCAAGCTATTGTTGAGGCTGCACTGGCCCGTCGGCACTTCCTGCTGTTGGGTGATGGAGATGAGCCCTGTCAGGTGGGTGTGCTGAGCTCAGCCTCCAGGGCCTCCGGGCCCTCGGGGTCTGCCCAGCAGAGATTAATCGCAGGGACACACTTTAGGACTATGGTTTCTAGTAAGACGCTTTTCTGTCTTCTTAAGATATGACTCCGTTGCCATAATTCTATTTTTTAAAATATATTTTTATTGATCCAAGGGAGGAAAGGAGAGGGAGAGAGAGATAGAAACATCAATGATGAGAGAGAATCATCGATCAGCTGCCTCCTGCAGGCCCCACACGGGGGATCTAGTGCACACATGGGCCCTGACGAGGAATTGAACCAAGACCTCTTGGTTCGTAGGTCGACACTCAGCCACGGAGCCCTACTGGCTGAGCTCCATTGCCATGGTCTTAGAGAGCATATTTGTGGAGGAAAAGTGCTAGAAATACACTCTGCCCAAGTGGCAACATCTGATGGATTTTTAAAAAGAGTTCATTGTGTCCTGTGTTTCCTACTTCCCTGAGATGTGCTCACTCTGCCCGAATTTGTGGGAGCAGCAGCGGTAACGCAGTCATCATAGCTCGCGGGTCCAGCCGGCTGTCTGCGGGGCAGGGGCGAGGGCTGTGTGCTCAGTTTTTCTCCTTCCCCACGACATTGGGGGGAGGCGGTGTTGCTCGCCTGGGTCATGGCCTGACAGCTGGAGCTCAAGGCCAGCGAGTTTGTGCGAGGTCACGGTGGTGAAGCCAAGGCGAGCCCAGGTCTTCAAGTGCTGAAGGCTCTCCTGCGCCGCCTGCTGCGCTCCTGGGCCTGGCGGCCTCCGGGGACGGGGCAGCCCTGCGGGCTCCCTGCGCTGAACCAGAGTGCCTGCTGGGCTTCCCCTGCTCCGCGCACAGCTGTCCTGTGGACGCGCTCACCCTTCAAAGGTTTGTGTTCACTCCTCGCCCACCTGGAAGCTGGATCCCGGCCTGCGAACGCCAGGCGCCTGGGTAGAACCTTCCTCACGATGTGGGTGCGGGGAGACGCTGTGGGGGGCGCTCGGTAACACCCTTCTTGCTAACAGTGTCACCTGTGTTGCCGTTTAGTTCTGCGAGGGGGCCCGCTCACTGGAAGATACAGGCTGCGACAGTTTCACCTGCACTGGGGGTCCACGGACGACCACGGCTCTGAGCACGTGGTGGACGGAGTGCGGTACGCCGCTGAGGTAAGCCTTGGCCAGGCTCCCGACAGAGCCGTCCTCTCTGGTGGGAGGGAAGGGGGGAAGGCGTCCTTGACCCCAAATAGGTCCGGAGCCGATTCGGATCTCAGTCTGGGACCTTGCCTCCTTCCGTCAGCGCAGGAGCTTATCAGCGTAGCTGCGAACGGGGAGCCTCAGCGCCACCCCGAGAGGTAGGGTCGCTGAGCCCGTGTGAACGTGAGCTCCCGGACTCGGGGAAGCCTCAGCGCAAGTGACACCAAGTCACAGGCTCGCTCCTGAGAGGCCAGCGAGGAGAAAGGAGAGAAACGTTTGTTCTAGGCCCAGCTCTGTGCATGTTTGGTCCCAACACATTCACTCATATCATGTACAATCCCTAGAACAGAGGTGAGAATCAACAGCAAAGGGCCCTGTGGGGGACTAAGACACCGCTCTCCTCAGCCCTCCGTCCCCTCTCACCTGCAGCTGCGCACCGGGCAACGCCGTGTGCAGAACCACGACGTCCTGGCTTCTTCACCGGCGTCACTCCTCTGTTGGGTGCTAGCCTTTAGGAATACTCTACCTCCCGGCCGCGGGGCTCAGTGGTTGGGCGTCAACCTATGAACCAGGAGGTCAGGGTTCAATTCTGGTCAGGGCACATGGTTGTGAGCTTGATCCCCAGTGGGGGGTGTAGGAGGCAACTGATGGGTGATTCTCTCTCATCATTGATGCTTCCCTCTCTCCCTCCCCTTTCCTCTCTGAAATCAATAAAAATATATTTTTTAAAAGAATACTTTTCTAATCCTCTGGCTAAAGCACAAAGCATAATACAGTTAAATACCGCTGACCCCCGGCTTTACCAGAGATGGGAGGGAATTGTCCTGTGACTGGGCCAAAGCTACTTACGTGTGCCCTGGCGCTGGCCAGGAGACGGAGGACTGTGCAGGCAGTCACGCTCGTCCGCCCTCAGGCTTATGGAGCCGGCCCGGCCCTCCTGGGTAGCCTGCTGTGCGGAGAAGCCCAGCAAAGGGCACAAGGCCTTGCTGCCGGGTTTTATTCTTCCATCACTTGTACATCTGCTGGCCGGGGCTATTACCCAAAGGCATGGTCCCCTCCTGAGCGCTTTGTGCGAGAGCAGGGGCTCCCAGGCTGCGGGGGTGGGGCGCCGAATCCGAGACAAGGACAGAGATGCTCAGGCTGCGGGGGTGTGTGGGGGAGGGAGGAGTGGGGCCCCGGAGCCGCTGGTGCTCAGCCTCTACCACCCATGCTTGTGTTGTGAAGTTCTGTGTCTGAATCTCAGAAGCTCTGGGGACGGGCTGGCTCTGTCATGTCCCAAAGCAGCTTGGGACAGTGGTCCACCCTCCACACGCCTGAGCGTGGCCCTGGAGGTGACTGGGCTGGCGCCGTCCTCCGCGTGGGGCTCGGAGCTCTGGCCACCGGGACTGCGGACGGTCCTTGATGCAGTGGGGCCTCCGGGCTCACTGTGGATCAGGGTCTTTCTCGTTTCGTAGGTTCGTTTGTCCCTGAGCTGCATTCCCTCATTCACTAGGAACGCGTCGGGGTCACCTCATCCTCCACCTTCCCTGGCTCACCGTGCGGGGAACGGGGGGCATCCAGGAGAATAGGGGGCGTCCAGGGGACACATCCCTGAGGAGAAGAGGCGCGAGCCAGGCAGCAGGACAGGACCAGGCGGGCCTGCCCAGAGGGCGCTGCGCATGTGCCTCGGGCGGGAGAGAGCCCCACACCGCAGGAGAGAGTGCCCGTGGGATCAGAGCGTGGACAGTGGCACGTGGCAGAGGCTGGTCGGGCTGAGCTGTATTCTAAGAGCCGGGAAGTCACTGACTGGCTTTGAATTAGAAAGTGATAATATTTGCATTTAAAAAATATGCACGCTACAACTAGAGGAGAGATTGGGGTGAAGCAGGAGGGGATAAGGGTCGGTGAGGAGGCTCTGGGGGATCCTGGTGGCGGGTGACAGTGCAGGTGGCCTCTGCCCAGCGGGCAGGGGGTGGGGGGAGGCGGGTGTCTGCCGCTGCGACAGCGATGCTGCGGAGAGGGATCTGGCCGTGCAGGTGGGCGCGCTGTCACAGGTGGCTGGTCACCGCGGAGACGGGCGGGTAAGTTCTCTGACGGAGCCATGTCACGTGGTCATGGCGAGGCTGAGTGGTCAGGAGGGGCCCCTGGGAGATGCCACCTGAATTGAGACCGAATGACCAGAAGCCACTCAGAGAAAATCCAGAGAGCGCTTTCCAGGAAGCGGGCAGCAGGGACAGCGCTCGGCGGGAGGGTGTCACGTGCTGGGAACAAAGGCGTTGGCCTTAATGAGAGGCCTCGCCGGGGTGAGGGCCTGAGCAGGTCAGCGTCCTCCGTCGTGTGCGGACGAGGACAGAGGCGGTGCCGCGGGGCGGGCCAGGTGCTCTGTATCTTATGAAACCTCTGCTGTCCGGGAGCGGGTGAGGCTGGAGGCGGTGGCGGGCCCGGAAGTGGCTTTTCCAGTACTTTGTACCTGACCTCAGGGCATCATCAGGTTATGCCCTCTTCACAAACGGAAAAGCGAAGGAAAGAAAGACAAAGGGAAAAGGCCGCTGAGAGCGGTGACATGGGAATGTAATTTGGGGCCGAATCTGATGGCTGCATCGGGAAGCTTTTCCCGAGGGCCCCGGGCCGCGAGGAGAACGCGGACGCGGACGGAGCTGCGCTGGAACTCACCTGAGCGCAACGTGTGCCTAACACACAGACGCATCCGGCACGGAGGTGAGCGTGAAGCTGTGATTTCAGCACTGACGGTGACTTTTGCACCAAGGCATTCTGTGTGTCAACAGGAGGCGGTCAAACGCTGAGGCTGACGAATACCATTGGTCAGACATTGTTTTCCCAGGGGAATCTGCTCCTTTCCATTTGCAGCCGCTGCTGCCACTTCCTGTCATCCGCTCCGTCACTGGGCTGTCACTGTGAATAGGAGGCGCTGCCCCCGGGTCCCACTCAGGTGCCTGGGCCGTGCCCTCAGCTCCGGGTCCCACACAGGTGCCTGGGCCGTGCCCTCAGCTGCGGGAGGTGCCGCTCAGCAGAGGCGGGAGCGGGAGGACTTGTACAAACAAACCCGGCCTTCTTTGCTCTGCTCCCACAGTGTCCTGGTCGCTCTCTATCCACTGGAAGGACACAGGGCTTCTCTCTTTGGTTCCACGTTTGTTTTCTAAGCGACTGTGGGCGTGAACCAAGGAGTGACTCCCCAGGTTTCCGTGTCTGTGGCGTCATCTCTTCCCAGGTGGCTGGTGCGTGGGCACCTGGCGTTTGAGACAACATCCACCTGCTTTCCTGCCCGGCCCAGCGAGCGCCGCCCGCCCAGGTTCCTTCCGCACTTTCTCACGCCACACGGCACCGGCCACCGTGGGAGAGCCAGTCTCTCTCCGCTGTTGGGGGCGGGGTGCACTGTTTCGTAGTTCACTATTTATGGTCACTCTTTTTTTTAAAAAAATATGTTTTTATTGATTTCAGAGAGGAAGGGAGAGGGAGAGAGATAGAAACGTTAATGATGAGAGAGAATCATTGATTGGCTGCCTCCTGGACGCCCCACCACTGGGGATCAAACCCACAACCCGGGCAAGTGCCCTGACCGGGAATTGAATTGTGACCTCCTGGTTCATGGGTCAAGGCTCAACCACTGAGCCACACCAGCCAGGCATGGTCATCCTTCTTTATCCAGAAATCCCCGCATTAGTTACCTGGAGGACATACAGTTACATTGAAAGGAGGGATAAACCTGAGCAGACTAACTCCCCCTCTGCTGTCACCTGGAAGGTGGATTGTGTGTGAAACCCTCACGTTTCCTCCTGAGGGGCCACAGGAGTCCCTTGGAGAGGTCGAGTCGAAGCCGGCCCCTCTCACGGCCGTCAGGATCTGGGCCACGCCGTCTGGGTGTGTCACGTGGCCTGGGCTCCCTGTGGCTCCCATCGCAGCGCAGCCCCCAGCCAGGAAGGAGCCCCCAGGAGCGGCCTGTGCGGGACTGTGTGTGCCGCGTCCGTGCACCAGTCTGTGTTCGGGACACGGCCGTGGCGCTGGACACCGGCTCCCTCGGGTTTGGGGAAGGCTGTTGCTTTCGGGAGAAGTTGGGACGTGGGTGAAGCCCCTTCTGGTCCCGGCCCCGTCCCCCCTGCCCTCCCCTCAGCACACCGGTCCTCCTCCGACCTCTGTTTCCAGCCCAGCCTCTCTGTCCAGTTCACTCCTGCTCCCCACACAGGGTCTGAACTCGGGCCTAGAAGCTGGTAGGTGTGTGGACACCGCTTAACACAGCGACTCTTACGGAGAATCCATGTCCACGCCATAGAAAGGCCTCAGCTGCAGGCATGAGCCTCTGACCACGTCCAGGAACCACCGACCCGTCCGTGGCAGGGTCACCCCTGGGGGCCCACTGACGCCCCCGCCCCCCAGTCTGGACCTGCCGTCAGCGGGGCCTGACCTCAGGCTGTGGACTGCAGTCCCGGGTGTGGGAGCGCGGGGGCCCTAAGTCACTGGGAACGGTGGCTGGAGCCTGTTGGGGCTCAAGGGGTGTGGCAGGACTTTCTGTGGCCTCCAAGAGCGTGGTGGATGTGGCTGCAGAGCCGTGCATGGAGGTGCAGCCCGGCCTCTGCGCCAGGCTTCCCTGGCGTTCATGTGTCTGAGGACGGATCTAAACATGACGTTGACTTACACGTGTCCCTCCTTTCAGCTCCACGTCGTCCACTGGAACTCGGACAAGTACCCCAGCTTCGTGGAGGCAGCTCACGAGCCCGACGGACTCGCTGTCCTGGGAGTGTTTTTACAGGTGAGGGCCTCTGGCTTCATTAGAACAATGACTCGGCCGTGTGGGGCAGGATTTCAGTCGCCGAGTGGACATCCTGCCATTTAAAAAATAGCCTATTGATCTTTAGAGGGGGGGGGAGGGAGAGAGAGAGAGAGAGAGAGAGAAAGAGGCATCAGTGAAAGAGAAGCATCAAGTAGCTGCCTCCTGCACGCCCCCCATGGGGGATCGAGCCCACAACCCTGACTGGGAATTAAACCTGTGACCTTGTGGCGTGTGGACTGAGCCACGCAGGCCCGGCTGCCTCCTGCACGCCCCCCATGGGGGATCGAGCCCGCAACCCTGACTGGGAATTAAACCTGCAACCTTGTGGCGCGTGGACTGAGCCACGCAGGCTGGGCTCTGCCATCTTTTAACAGCAAATCAGTTGTAGGTCCAATGTTTCCCTTTTGAAATGGATATCACAATTCCATGTTTATGGTTCCTCTCAGGGCTGGGAGCTTTGCCTTACAATCCCTCCTGTGTCTGTTGATCATGTTTGTCCATTAGCAACAGCAACAGTAGCGCTGCAGTGACAAGGAGACCAGAGAGGGGCCCTTGGCCGGCCTTCCTCCTGACTGACGGCACAGTGCTCAGAGGGGCGGGGCAGAGCGGAGTCACCGTCCTGCTTCCGGAAGCACTAGTTGCACCACATGGTTGGTTTTCCCAAATGCACTGACCATTTCCATTGTTTTCTGTGTCTCCCGCACAAGTGGCCAGACAGGTATCGCTGTGGTCACACCTGGGTGGGTGGGGCCGCCCCACTCCCACTGGGACCACATTCCTGCAGGGCGTTCCTCTTTGTTGGGACACCCACTGGGTGGGGAAAGAGGCGCACGTGTTTTTCCGAAGAACTCGGCTCAGGACGATCTATTGCCTTGATCCGGGACCTCCCGCTGTTTTAGGCCGAATCTGGGGGACATTTTTCCTCTAATGTTTTGATGTCATAATAGCCTGTGTGGGTAGAGGGTCTGGAAGCCACACCTGGTTTCGGAGTGCGGGTGTGTTGGAGGTGTCCTAAGCCAGGCTTTCCTCAAGTTCACCTGCGTCTGCAACATCCCTAAAGCTGAGAAACAGGAAGCTGTCACTACATTTGGGGGCCAAACTTCTAATTCAGCCAAGGAGCCTGCAGTGCTCTCTCCTCATCCAGATTCTTCAGGCAGGAGAGCTGCGCTGCAGAACAGCCACTGTTGGCTGTGGGCTGGCCTACATTTTGTTTTTAAAGAATTTAAAATCCTGACTGAAAGGAGCAATTCAGATCTGTCTGCAACAGTAACCACTTCTCGCTAAATTTCATGTTTCAGATCGGCGAATGTAATCCCCACCTGCAAAAGGTTACTGACATCCTGGATTCCATTAAAGAAAAGGTAAAGCTAATTCCTGGTGGCTGGTGACCAATATAGTCCTGTTTTCTGCTGAGTTCTCTTGTCTTCTCTTACACACATGTCTGAGTCAGGGCCGACTGCTGCTCCTTGAAGCGGCCGGCGTGTCCTTGACCGATAGAGCCAACATGACCTGTCACCACTCACTCCCGAAGTTTGTGAAGAAGTCTTCAATCACCTAAAATAATCACATAAGTCTATTTATGGTAATTAGTTCCTGTTGGAGTTTTACTGAATAAGCCTTTGGCTGCAACACATTTTAAAGACCACTCATATGAAAACAAATCTTGTCCTTTCAAATGAATCTTAGCGATGCCCGACTTCCTCTAACATGTTTAGATGAAGGCAGGTACTCTTTCTAAAGTACAAACAGCAGGCACTAAATAACTGCGCGGCTGGGCAGTTCCAGTGAAATCTGATGTCACCGCCTGCATGTTTCTCCAGGTCTGTGAAAGCCCCCCCTTGTCATCTGTGGCTTTCTCTCCCCTGCCCCAGGGTAAACAAACTCGATTCACGAATTTTGACCCGTTGTCGCTGCTTCCTCCGTCCTGGGATTACTGGACGTACCCAGGGTCTCTCACCGTGCCGCCCCTTCTGGAGAGTGTCACGTGGATCATCCTAAAGCAGCCGATCAGCGTCAGCTCTCAGCAGGTAGGCCTGGTCCAGGCAGGTCCACTCCCAGAGGAGACTGGGCAGAATGGTTTTCCACCCCCTCTGTGCCTCCTGCTGTGCCAGGAAGCCCGAGTTCTCCCTCAGATGGGATTTCTGGCCCTTCCCATTTGACCTTCTGGTTCGGTGGTTTCTTCCCCACCTCCTAGAAACTCGGGGGAAAGGAGGCGCCCTTTGAAGGGAGCACTGCTTGCTTCTGTCTCCTAGTTTGGACTGAGATAGAAAGGGGCTGGGATTCAAAAGGAAAGCCAGGAGAGAGGCTGCTCTTAAAAGGTGGCCTTCACCTTTCCTGCTCAGTCCCTAGACCTGCCCCTCCCACAGGCTCCACCTTCAGGAAGCGACTTGAGCCGCAGACCAGTGCCTGCTGAGTTTAAGAAGAAATCTGCGACCTGTGGCTTTTGTTGGCAGAGCTTCTGTGGGGCGTCTGAGGGCTGTAGCATTTACTAAGAGGCTCTTCTTGTGACATAAGTCTGCAGGCTCAGGAGTCTTTGCCCAGAACCCTGCTGGGCTTAGACCTTTGGCCGACCATCTGCCAGGTGGATGCTGTGTTTCCCCAAGGCTGCGCTTAGTGGGTTTTGTTTTGTCCTTCCTTTTTGAATGATGTGCTGCAGAACCTTAGCAAGAATGCAGTCTAATAATTTTTGCAGCTAATAAAGCACTTCTGATGTGGGCTGGCCCACCGGCCTAGCTGTTTATTCCCCAGTCAAAGACTAGAGCTGGTTGACCTCTGCCAAGGTCAAGGTCAAAGACTAGAGCTGGTTGACCTCTGCCAAGGCCGGGGGCATTTTCCCTTGCTGTGAGGCTCATGTGCCACTTATAGTGGCCTTGTCTTTAGGATAAAACACGTAATGCCTGGGGCATATCCTTAATCTATACTAATAGAAGCCTATGTGGTCGTGTGCCCTCATGCCGTAACAACCTATTACCAGGAGGCTGCATGCGCAGTAGGCACGTGTAGGTGGGTGGGTCTGCATAAGCAGTGAGGCGCATGTGGGTGGGCGGGGACTTGACCAGGAGGTGCATTGGGAGAGCAGATGGCGACTGCTGCTGCCCAGGGCCGGCCCGAGGCTCAGGCAAGCCACCGATGGTGGGCTGGCCCAAGGTTTAGGCAAGCCGCCAATGGCGGCTGCCACTGCCAGAGTCGGCCTGAGGCTCAGGCAAGCTGAGGATGGTGGCTGCCACTGTGAGGGCCAAGGCTCAGGCAGCCTCGAGGCCGGCAGTGGCAGCAGCAGAGGTGTGATGGGGGTGTTGCCTTCCCCTGATCGGCTGGTTGCCTCCTGCAGAGGGAGGCCAGTCTGCGGCTTCAGCCCACTACCTTCGGGGATCGGACCTAAGCTGTCAGTAGGACATCCCCTGCAAGCTCCCGGAATGTGAAAGGGGGCAGGCCAGGCTGAGGGACTCCCCCCAGTGCACAAATTTTTGTGCACCAGGCCTCTAGTACATTTATAAAGATCTGCATAGAAATCTAGAGCTTAACTGACATGAAATTTGCTGTGAATTTTTCCATTAGAAACAAGGTGAATTGTGTCATGAGAATAGGGACCTGCCCCTGGGTCGGGGCCTCACTAATGGATCTCACTTTCTCCCCTTCCTGTGCCCATGCGCTTCCCTTCACAATTCCTGATTACATTTGAAAAGTGACACACTATAGCATCAAGACATGTTTTTCCTCATAGTTCAAGGGTATTTTTACTCCTTAGAGCCACTTGGAAAGTAACTTTTAAAAAATCTACCTGTGATTGGTAAGAGATTATTTCAAAATATATATTAGATCCTTAAAGAGCACAAAGTTAACCCAATCAAGGAAACTTTCTGCAAGTGTTGGGCTATGACTGACTAGCTGTGGGCTCATTACTGTATCTTATTTCAGGCTCAACTAATTAGTGTTGATTATTAATTTGGCTTTTTGCACAGAAGAGTATAAAACAGTAGCTGAGTTTCAGGGTTAGTATGACCGGTGAAGCTTTCACCTGAATCTACAGGAGCAGAAACCCTTTCAGACATCTCATTTGCAACCAGATTGAAGTGATTATCTGAGTAATAATCCAAAGTATAAAATAGTGTTATAGCGCTTTTAAGACTTAAGAATGAAGCAAAAGATATTTTAAAAGTCCAGTCCCAGTCGTAACCATGAGAAAAACATCAGACAAAGCCCGAGTAAGGGACATCCTGCGAAACACCGATCGTACTCCTCAGACTGTCCGCGTCACCAAGAACAAGGGCGTCTGAGAACTCACCACCAGGAAATGCCCGGGAGACGGGCGACTCAGTGAAATGCCGTGTCCTGGTGGGATCCTGGGGCAGAGAGAGACATCAGGTGCGAACAAAGGAGCCTGAGTAACCGCACTTAAGGGCGGCATAAATTTGGTTCGTTAGTTGTGAGAAGGAACACCTTAGAAGGTGGTAACTACAGAGGAAACTGAAGCGGGTACACGAGAACCCATTGTAATCATTCTGTAAATCTGAACCGTTCTGAAATAAAAAGTTTATTAAAAAACCCAAAACACAAGAGGGTTGATAAGATCACTCAGTTGCCTAGCTCTTTCATGTAAAGTCTTTTGTGTATGCCACCGGCTTAAGAATTACTTTCCAGAAAATGCTGTCTCAGTGATGACAGCTCTATGTTGAAGTCGCTGGGGAGCGTCCTTATTTATTTTTCAGTCCCACCAGAACCTCTGTCAGTCGGTTGGGCCAGTTTTCCCCGCTGCTCTTTCTTGCCAAGTCACTGTCTGACCTAGAGCGCAGAGCAGAGGGTGTTCATTTTCTTTTTCTTGATTCAAGTCCATTTTTCTCCCCCGAGTCACTGACTGAAATGCCTGGTTTACCTCCAGGCGGGGAACAGACTGTGATTCTGATATCTGGATAACAGAGCCCTCATTGTCTTGGGCAGGCGGACTTTTCCTGCCAAGTCTCTGGGTTATTCTGGGTTTTCTCCACTCGCTTCCTCAGCTGCTGAAATCCTATGCGCAGGACACTTGCCTTCTATCCTAGGCTCCTCTTAAACATTCTCTTCTGTTACGCCGTTGTTTGCAAACAACAGCACTCATGAGTCTCAGTGTGCAGCTGATGGCCTTGGTTGTTGTGTGTTACCCTGCGATGCAGCAAGCCACGCACAGTCCAGGGACAGGGATCCCTGCCAGAGGGTTCCTCGTGCCCTTTGCCCTCCACTCACCCACGGCCTCAGGACACCACTGAGAGTCACTAGAATTTTATTCAAGTGGAATTACACAGACACACACTTCTGTGTTTGATTTCTTTTGCTCAGAACAACATTTTGAAGATTCACACATTTTATTTATTTTTGCTACAGAGTAATATTCTATGGTATGGATATACCACTATTTTATTTTATTTTATTTTATTTTTTATTGTTTAAAGTATTACATATGTCTCCT